AAACTCAGTAGCTCAGCCAGCGAAACCGTACCGTCCAAATGAGGAAACTGCATTAGCAAAGCGCTGTTGAAAGCAAAAATAACTTCGAAGCTAAACATTCGGCCATGCCATATCCTGCATTTTAGCCGGAAGTCTGTACTCAATGTATTTCTTTCTTTCTGTTTCACCGGCTGTGAATTCCGGCGAAAAGTTGCTGTTCATCATTTTGGACTTTGTCTTTGAACCAGGATCTGAGTTTGGCGAGTACATCAGTTTTACTGGCTTATTTGTGTGCAGTTCTTGTTTCTTGCCTCTCGAGCAGATGTACCCCGGCTTCAAAGGAAGACGCCATTCATATCTCAGGGATGACTGTTGCCATTGTTTCGTGGGACATTATGTTGCCTCATTTGTGTGTTGTCCTTTTTGTCCCTTTGTCTACAGAGTGGCCCCTGGAGAACCCCTTTAAGTCAACCTCGTGTAGACTGGTCAGTCATGAATTTCAATTCCAATTCCTTTCAAGAGAAAATCAAAACCTCCACCACGTTCAACTTGCTGCTAGCTAGTCGAAGCTGCCAAAAGTCTCCGGCTATATTTGTGGTCTTGTTTATTTGCGCCACTTTCGTGGCTAAAGTTCTGGTATTTGTGCTGTCTCTGGGCTTAATGCTTCTTTCCTCCATCAACCCGCTTATTCCAATCCCTGTTTTCATCTGTCTTCTTCTTGCCCTTTCATTTATGATCTTTCATCTTTGGTTTCAGCTCCTTCTGATTTGGCCAGGCGTATTCCATAGGAGAGCGAGCTTCTCAACAGAACGTCCTGTGTACCACCATTTATAGTTTTAAAATGTTGAGTATTTTACTTTGCCAAAACAGTCCGCAGGTCCAGGAGCAGCCCGCGAGTCCAGGATTTCGATGACCACACAAATAGATACATTCATCACGTTAGACTCCTTTAAAGTTGTTTCAACTGTGCCCTTAGCATGATAGAATGGAGAGGCATGCGCCAGGCATTGGTTCCCTTGTTTTGTCACAACACTCGGGCAAGTAGGGCCAGTAGATACGGTCATCAAAACTTTATTGTCAGTTAGTAAGATTTGTGACGATCGGACATAGAGACTTTGCCTGTGTGCCATTGGAGCCTAACCAACAGACCGACAGAAGCTGTCATGGTGTACTTTACGCGACGTTGAGGGATGACAGAGGATGTACTGAGACAGGATTTTATCGCTAGAAAACGCCTAAAAGAGATGTTGCTCGTCTAACCTGCTGGCCTAGGGCCGAGTCTCAGCGGTTTAGTTTTCCTTTCACTTGACAGACTTTCAACCGAGAGTTGTCATTTAGTGGTATATTCGGCAAGCAGACTTTTCTCGGGTTGCAAATGAGTTTTAATAGACGTTTTCGCCCATGCATTAGGGTTGGGCTGATGGAAGTCAGACTGGACCCTACATCTCGGGGGGGACAAAAGCTCCGAGATCCCCTGCCAGCTGTGTTGATGCTCATTTGAGACATTATCCATGGCGGACGACAGGGATGTGCAGCAGTAGTCTTGCATGAAGAGGTGCTCTAAAACCAGCACAGAGAAGGCTGGTGCCCTAGGTGAGGTACGGTTAATCTTCTTTTCTTCGAGAAATACAGTGATTTAGCAGCCGGTCTAAGGAGAGACGAGGCATACGCAGTACGGGTCTTTGCCGTCGAAGTGGGAGCGATTGCGCGGTGGTTGAAGAACTAGGATTGCGCGGTAATGAACGGAAACGGACACTGAAACGGCTGGGCGAGGCTGCTGAGAGGGCCTCGAGCTGGCTTTGGACGCAACGGAACAACGTAGGGGACGGGCTTCGGTGAGCTGGTCCGGGTGTCTAGCGGAAAAGAGTTTTTCATCCCTTAAAAGTCCATCGTGTCCGAGTCGTCTGCCAGTGATCCTCTGCCACCTGCCAACAAAAGTCCAACATGTGTCCGGTATTCCAATCGTAAGCTTGTCGCTCGGTCGTCCAGGTATGCTGACTGCTCTAATTAAGTTACCGCGGCGACTTCTTATCTCACAGTACCATCTGCGAAATCACCAAGTCGTCTTGTCCCTATCCGAAAGAAAGCACCATCCGGTAATTCCGTGCAGCTGTGAAACCAGCCCTGAGATTCATGAACTCAGGTGGGCCCTGTCTCTGAAAACGTCTAGGAGGTCGTGGGCCGAAACGTTTGTCGACGAGAGATAACTTCTACTGATGACTGGTAGATCCCCGCTGTACTTGCTCCCCCGTGGAGTTTATTCCTATCTTTAACACGTCCATCAGACTTTAACTTTTTCTCACTCCTGTGATCGAAATTACCGCGCCACCAATGTATTTGACACTAGGAATTGCTCTCATGGAGTGTCAGACACCGAGGTGCCCATACAAGGAAAATATGGAAGGGGGGGGGGGGAGCGCTCTGCTCCCTTGCAATTATTTTAGGTGGGGCCCTTAAATGGGTCTAAGAATTGTTTAAGGGACTTCGCCTTCGCGTTCTCCTGGCTGCCAGCTAGGGCGTAAAGTTAATGGTTGCAATCAAAACTGGCTATTTTTTTTTTAAACAAAGGGTTGGTTCATTGCCTCTCCGGCAGATACACACCGACTTCAAAGGAAACCCCTAATTAGTCGACTCCTACGACATGCTTTTTAGGGGGACAATGGGTCTATTCCCCCCCCCCCCTTCCACAATAGGGCCCCTAGAAACCCGTAGGGAAGTTTCAAATGCATAATAATAATAAATGTGCTGAATGGCAAATAAGTATAATTATTAATTTAAAATATTGTAATACACGTGCCTATGTATAAACAACAATTGTTTAGGGCACTTTTGCTGTGCGGGAGGGGAATGGCCTCAAAGGGAGTCACAGATTCCAGCGCCGCTGCTCGGATAAAATCGTTTCTCACTAGTCTTTACGATAGTGGAACTGTTGAGAAAAAGATCGGAGCATCTATAGATCTATCCAGAGTTTCTGCGACGATAGTCCTCACTAACCACCGCCTCATATTGCTAAAGGTGAGTGCTTTCCATAAGCAGGGACGCCACCACAAAGAAATCATTTTGCGGGGTTTAGGGAGGAGGTCTTTAGCATTTTTGTGGGACGTAATGTTTCTTTGTTTTTGTTTACACCACGGCTCTTGTCGGGTGCCCCAAATACAACTTAACGGTTCAACGCGGTTTCTGCGACTTTCTCCCGGGAGATTCTCATCCGAATGGTGGCACTTTGTATCACTGTGTTTACCGCTCGTTGTGAAATCCTGATCAGGTTGAACTCAGTTAGTCAGACTTATCATGCATCAGTATTCAACCAAGTTGTGCACAGCCAGCAAATCAGTCCGCCTGTTCATTTCCCAACAGACCGGCATTCCTCGGAGAAAAGATCCAGATAATGCTCTTCGCCTGTGACTTCTGAAGGGGAGCATGCCACTGTGCATAAAGATGACTATACTCACCTTCCCCGGCATGCGTTCTAATTCAGTTGCAATCACAGTGTGCGTGCGTGTGTATGTGTGTGTGCGTGCGTGCGTGTGTGTGTGTGTGTGTGTGTGTGTGTGTGTATGTTGAACATACTTTTAGGACTAACCAAATCAAACACCTTTCGTTAAAAAAAAAAAGGTGAAGTCGGGAGATATGAACCAGCGTCATTGCACACGGTTATAAACCATAAGTGCTCTGCTACCAGTACGGACAGCTGATAAGAAACTGTCCGCCTGTGTCGCCGTCCGTACACAACTCCGTAGCTACAGCGACGTTCTTCCATTTACCCCAGAGTGTTAACTCTGGTACACATTACCTCGAGGCTGGGTGAAACGTGGGAACCGCCCGGTTTCGAACACCGGCTGTGGGCTTCAGCAAGTCGCAGATGGATTTTAGAAGCGAGTCTCCTATCGACTGCACTATCGTGGTAAGATTAATTAAAGCCAAGAATGAAATTCCTATTCTCGTTTGCACAAAGCCTGGTCAGTGTTATAGAGACTACATGTTACAAGTGTCAGATTTCCCTCATCCCACTGGGGCAGGACAGTGACGACTAATTCACAGTTTGCTAAATGAGATGTGGTGTGCCAAAAGCTGCACATATTACAGCCTAGCTGCAAACCACAAGACACGGTACCAACTGTCCTTTAAAACGAACGCCAAAAATCAAAGAGGAATCAATGTGGTGTAGTCGACGTCTGTGGCTTGGACGTTGTGCTCAAGATAATGCCTAGGTGCCGGGTTCGATCCCACCTGCAGGTGATTTGGCAGGAGACCATTGGGTTCGACATGATAACGACAGTAGGAATGGCAAACTACTGAACGTAAACTTGCCTAGCAGAACTCCAACACACACACACACACACACACACACACACACACACACACACACACAAAGGCTGCAACGTTTTGTAATTTATACGCAACTAACTTTATGTGTAGTAGCAATATATTTAAGAAAATAAAAAGTATTTAATGCGATAAGTCGCTCTCATTTAATGTCAGAAAGAGAGTGCTAACATGTCACATAGAACCTGTTCTGTTGTATGGCAGCGAATCCTGGAATGTCAGTGAACAAATTGAGAAGAATTTAGAAGCAGCAGAGATGTGGTTTCTGAGACGAATGTTACGAATACCTTGGACGGCCAGAGTAACTAACAACGATTTTTTTTAAAAAGCTAATGAAATTAGATCTCTATATACAACAATAAGGAGGCAAATACTCTTCTTTGGCCACATAATGAGAATAGAGGCACTGGAAAACATCGTGACAACTGGTAAGATCAGTGGAAAGAGGGTAGAGACAAACGAAGAGAGATGATGCTGGATGGGCTGAAACTATGGCATGGAGGGATATCATCAAGAGAGCTGTTCCAGGCAGCCAGGGATCGTGATCTGTGGAGACGCATGAGAGCCTACACCAGTTGGTAGGGCTGATGAGGATGATGATGATGAGTAATATATTTGTTTCGCTGTTCTGTGTGCGTGACTGTGAGAAAAATAGCATCCTACTTTTCTATTGCCTGTCCCCTAGAAAAGACAAAATGGCGTTGAGACTCAACAAGCTGAATTTCGTTTTGCAAGTTTGTCGACGGTTCTCCGCAAAGGCTGCTGAAGGACATGCTAGTCATGGTATGCCATTTATTTATGACATAAAATTAGTAGTTCGAATCTTTAAAAGATAAGCTGTCCACTTTTTAAAAAGGAAGAAAAGTTTTAAAATTTAACATTTTTTCGACTGACCTCTCCCCATCATCGTCATGCAGTGTTTCTTCAATGAGAATCAATGCAAAGGTCAGTTTAAGAAGTCATTGAAAATTTTTTGTCCCCGTTTGGGATCAGGGGCCCCATTTGGGTGGGGATAGGAGTTTAGATCCCTGCACTCCCTAAAAAAAGGCATGTTGTTTTACTAAATAGGTACGGTACTTTAGTCAAATTCTTTTTTTAATGCACTCAACACCCATAAAACCAGCACAGTTAGATAGCTGTAAACATTCTTTTTCCAACCGTACCTCATTTAGGCTTGTATGTCATTTCTGAGCTGAGATATGTAGGTTTTTGTGGAGATGAGATGTAAAAAACAGCTGCTAAAACTTGTGTCTGAGAAACAAGAAGTTTTCTCTGCGCAACCAAACTGCGCAACTTTCGTTTTGGCTTTGTTTTCATTGGACAAGATGGCAGACAATTTTTCTCAGTAGCTACTTCAGTAAAATTTTTAAAATTCCCTCTACACCAATAAAACCAGCACAGTTAGATAGCTGTAAACAATTTCTTTCCAATGGTACCTCATTTAGGCTTGTATGTCATTTCTGAGCTGAGATATGTAGGTTTTGTGGAGATGAGATGTAAGAAACAGCCGCTAAAACTTGTGACCCAGAAAAAAGAAGTTTTTTTCTGCGCAACCTACTGCGCAGTTCTGTATCGGCTTTGTTTACATTGGACTGTCATTGGACAAGATGGCAGGCAATGAGACACAGCCACTGGCTGAGCCAGCGATTGCCTGAAAGATGTCACTGTACATCTACCTAGCCACCGTCCAGAAAGAAATTTTTATACACAAATGTAAAATTGGACGGAGAATTCAAATATACCTAGCAATACCAGGACGAGTAACAGTTAAAGCCTAAAGCCAACCTCGAATTTACCGCTATTTTCAATCAAACTGATGACTAACAGAAAAACAGAGGACGTCCGGCTGTCGTAGACATGCGCTGTTAATCGGGTTCCCCCACGCTGTTTTCAGCTATTTATAGCTGGTCCAAATTCCCACCAATGGCAAAATTTCATGAGAGATTTGGACCCATACGGAAACCAGCCGAGATTTCCCGAACAAGTTCTGAACGGTTTCCGGGTAACGGAAATTGCCGAAAAGACCGCAAATTGTCGAAAAGACCGCAAATTGTCGAAACTGTAGTCCCTATTTCTCAGACACAGCCACATATTAGCGATTGCCTGAAAAATGTCACTGTACATCTAAACAGCCACAGACAAAAAAGAAATTGTATACACAAATGTAAAATTGGACGGAGAATTCAATTATAACTAGCATTACCATGTCTGGTAATGTTTAAGGCCTAAAGCTAACTTTGAATACTTACCGCTATTTTCAATCAAACTGATGTAACAGAAAAACAGAGGACGTCCGGCTGTCGTAGACATGCGCTGTTAATCGGATCCGTTCCCGACATTTTCAGCTGTTTATAGCTGGTGAAAATCACACCAATCGCAAAATTTCATGAGAGATTAGGACCCATCCCAAAACCCCAGCCGACATTTCCCAAACAAGTTTCGAACGGTTTCCATGGTAATGAAAATTGCCAAAAAGACCGCAAATTGTCGAAACTGTAGTTGCTATACTAAAACTTAGGGATGTTTCTAAAAAGTCAATATCTGCCTGATAAGTTAATAACTATAACTAACAACGAGATTTGAAAGAAAGATGATTAAAAAAAACTGAAATCCTACAAGTTTAAAAACTTTACATGAATCAGATCTAAAGGCTCTCCTTCAAACTTCATCCCCATATTGTGGCGGCCAAACAAATACCCTAACAGGGCCTCAGTCGTGTGTAAAATGCGGACTTTTTCTGACGAACACAACGCTGCAAAACTTAGATTACTGTCCGTTGACACTTTCAAGAAACACAATACACACAATAATAGTGACATGGCGGGAAGACCATGTGCTCTGACGCATGTTAGCGATAGTGTTATTCCGATTAAACTCACCGCTGAGCGTATCCCCCCTGCCGCTACTCGCAGCGCATATGGGGGGCTAAACTAGATGGCTGGGACTCACGAGCAGTAGCTACCGTATCTCCTGCAATTTCCTCCAATTTATTTGCTCGTGAGTCCCAGCCATCTCGTTTAGCCCCCTTATCCGCCCGTAGCAGTGCAGGGGATACTGTTGGCGGTGCGGCATAGTCGCAGAAACAGGTCCGCAATTAACATATCACTGAGACCCTGTTAGAGCATTTGTTTGCCCTTGATAATATTGGCCCGTTATTCGGAGGCGATCGCAGTATTCCGCGATTCGTTCCTCGGCAGGCATTTTGCATTTTACACATGACAGAGGCCCTGTTAGGGTATTTGTTTGGCCGCCATAATATGGGGACGAAGTTCGAAAGAGAGCAATTCCAAAGTTTCATTCTTTCATACTAATGAATGATCTGTCACTACAGCCATTTTCTTCCTTTTTAGGACATTGAAAAGCAACTGAAGCATTTCATTTCTGGACTCTGTGTGGTTTTACCTTCAGTAAGGGAGATTTGGAATGCATGGTGCACAGGGAGATTTAGACTGCTGGCACACAGGGAGATTTGGATTGCATGGTGCACAGGGAGATTTGGACTGCATGGTGCACAGGGAGATTTAGACTGCCTGGTATACTTGTTAATGCACAATTTGATTGCTGGGAGAGGGCTAAACACATTCCGGTCATTCATGAGGTGGGCAAACTATGCTGGTTTAAAATGCTTAGAAAAATATGACATCTAAAATGTCCTCATGGGGGGGGGGGGGAACAAGGCAAAAGATAAAGGGGTGACTACAGATTCAGAGAAGAAAATTTGAGAAAAAATGGAAGACGGGAGAAAAGCATGGGATGTGCTGCACAAGAAAACAAAGGATAGAACAACTCGTTGAGGCCTGTATCCAAAAGGAGGAGAAGATTGATAAAAGTTTGTTCCTTGCGTTGCATTTAACATTCAATCGGCAGGAGAAGCTAAAGCCTAACTATTGTCTTTTGTATTCTAGTGGAGTAATCTACCAAGGCTGATAATCCATTGTTGTTCTCAGGACAAGAATCCATTGATGTTCTCAGGACAAGAATCCATTGTTGTTCTCAGGATAACAATCCAGTCTTGTTGTTTTTGTGATTTCAGAATCGGCTTCAACCTGGAGGAATGCTTTCATCTTCCTGGGCTTGCCCGCTGTAGCTGCTGTCTACTACAATGCTTACTATGTGCTGCCACAGCATCCAGAGAGACCGGAGTTTGTGCCCTACCCTCATCTCCGTCTCCGAAACAGGGTAAGTGTGTAATCTGAAATTGTAGGTTCACCAATTTATGTAATGCTGAATATAACACAAAATCAACCGAACGTTTCGATCAAAGTCTATATCAGCAGAGTACTAAATATAGCACAAACTGTGACTGGAAAACTCAGCGGGCAAGACGACGACGCTGATTAAAAAAAAAGGTCCACATGAAACCAAAAAGTACGTAATGGGGGAGGGGGGGGGAAGAGTTGAGTATGAAAGGCTATAGTACGAAGCGAAATGTGTAAGAAGGCATATGTAACAATTTATGTAGCCTGAATAGTCGCCCATGTGTTACTTTAGGTTTTATTTCATTTTGGAGAAACCTGATTCTCTGTACTGGGTGAGGGTGCTGAGATAGAGCACCAGTTGTTGCTGTTGTATCTAGTTGTATGTGAGCACCAGCTGTTGCTGTTTATCAAGTTAGGTGTGAGCACCAGTTTTTGCTGTTTATCGGGTTATGTGTGAGCACCAGCTGTTGCTGTTTATCACATTATATGTGAGCACCAGCTATTGCTGTTTATCAAGTTATATGTGAGCACCAGTTGTTGCTGTTGTATCTAGTTGTATGTGAGCACCAGCTATTGCTGTTTATCAAGTTATATATGAGCACCAGTTGTTGCTGTTGTATCTAGTTGTATGTGAGCACCAGCTATTGCTGTTTATCAAGTTAGGTGTGAGCACCAGTTTTTGCTGTTTATTGGGTTATGTGTGAGCACCAGCTGTTGCTGTTTATCACATTATATGTGATCACCAGCTATTGCTGTTTATCAAGTTATATATGAGCACCAGTTGTTGCTGTTTATCTAGTAATGTGTGAGCACCCGCTATTGCTGTTTATCAAGTTATGTGTGAGCACCAGTTGTTGCTGTTTATCAAGTTATGTGTGAGCACCAGTTGTTGCTGTTTATCAAGTTATGTGTGAGCACCAGTTGTTGCTGTTTATCAAGTTATGTGTGAGCACCAGTTGTTGCCGTTTATCTAGTTATGTGTGAGCACCAGTTGTTGTTCGTCGAGTTATGTGTGATCACCAGCTGTTGCTGTTTATCAAGTTATGTGTGAGCACCAGCTGTTGCTGCTTATCAGATTATGTGTGCACACCAGCTGTTGCTGCTTATCAGGTTATGTGTGCACACAAGCTGTTGCTGTTTTTTAAGTTATGTCTGAGCAGCAGCTGTTGCTGTTTATAGCAAGTTGTTTGATATTCTTCCTGGCATTTTTGAATCCCGTTCAGGGCAGATGAACACCATAAACTGATTGAAGACATGAAACAGTTGAGGTTCTGTTTAACATGTTTCCAGGAGGAATAAACTGAAAAACTGTGTGACAATTAGGAAGCTTTATTGGAGGAGGGGTGGGGGCAATAGGAATACAGAGATTAATACCTAGTGAAGTGGGTACAAGAGCATTTACCTAATCTGTGATATGGTGATCATATAAGAAGTTGACTACTATGACCATCTTCTATCAGCATTGCATTAAGTGTTACATAGGACTCGTAGTCTGTTTCTCTTCATCTTAGTGTTTGCTAGCTGTAACCTCATCCATTTCTTGACTTAAGTCTTGTTCTATAACTTGTTTTGCATGCACATCCTTTTTACAGAAGTTTTACCTGCACATCTGTTTTACAGAGCTGGCTTACTTGTGTGCAGACAATTGGTTCCTTGTCTCTCAGGCAGATACACTATGACTTTAAAGGAAACACCCCTTTGTTGTCTTTTACAACATGTTTGTGGAGGGGGGGGCACAGTGGTTCTTTTCTGTTTACTCCTACAATGAGGCCATGGAACCCACTCTGGGAGTTTGGTTCTCTCACGTGCAGATCTCTGTTTATCATGTATAGAATATGTCGAGCACCTTTAGCCTCTCTCGTGAAAAGATGCTTTCTGACTTCAGAGGAAACAGTAATCTCACATCGTGTTGGCCAGCCAGACCTGCCAGTTTGGAACCTGTTTGTAGGTTGACAGGGTAAAGATGTAGATAGTTCTTGACCATTTTGGGTTCTGGTACACCACTGCTGGTCGTGGCGACCCTGGAACCCACAGCTAAGTTGAAGTTTAAGAAGATGGCTATATCCAGGGAATAAACAGGCAGAGAATCACTTAGTGATCATATAAGAAGGTGACTACTGTGACCACAGAGGGATTTATTTGATTCTCTATTCTTTGGGAAATTTTGTGCAGCGAGAATATGAACAGTATTTGTCACATAAGGATTTGATTCTTTATTCTTTGGGAAATTTGTGCTGTGAGAATATAAACAATACTTGTCACAAAGGGATTTGATTATCTGTTCATTGGGAAATTTTACGCAACAAGAATATAAACAGTACTTGTCACAGAGAGATTTGATTCTCTATTCTTAAGAAAAGTATTTGCACATTTTAGTAAATATTTTTTTTTTCAGTTAAAGGCTATTACTTTTTGACTCCAGATAAGTTTGTGGGGAATATTATTATAGAAAAAAAATTAGGCACACTTAGATTACCCCTTTGATATGCGGTTAATGAACAGTTTACGATAGCGCTTCTCTTATTATCTACATAGGTCTTGTATTGCTTCTTTTAATTCAGTCATTTAATTATGCCCTGTATCTTGTTTATGTTGCAGAAATACCCCTGGGGAGATGGCAACAAAACCCTGTTCCACAACCCGTACTACAATGCCCTACCTGAAGGTTACGAAGAGGGCTCGGAGGAGCTACACCCTGGCAAACACCACCACCACTAGATGATGGATGGGTTGCCTGTTTGGAGTTGGCTGGACCTTGTGTTGGTGTCATTATCTTTTGACTTCCTTCTAGAGTTTTTTTCTAATCTGAATTGGGAAGAATTGTATAGGATTTTTTTTTTTTTGACATGAAGTGTCCTAGAGATAGAATGTTTCATTTTGTGAATGTGAGAATAGTCTTGACAGTGGCTAAAATAAAGAATTGAAAATATTGTTATAAATTTTTAGGTTTTTTCTTTCTAATTTACTTATGGTGAGCTGGACAGAAAATCATAGCTGGGACTGAAAAAGGAAGCAGATTGATGGTGGGAAACCTTAAAATAACATTGATAAGAGAGGTCAAAGGTGCTGGGCTGAATTGTATCCATATTGAAAAGATTTAACAGAATGGAATGGAGGGAGAAATATGAGATGTCCCATAAGTTTCCATATATATGAACAAAAAATAATTTCTGAAAGCCATGGTTATTTATATATGCTTTGGGTTTTTATCACATATGGCTCAGTCTATCTCCGCACAAACTGCAGTGCTTCATCACGATCTCTGGGAATCTCTGTAAAAAGTGCACACGTGAGCTGAAAAGCACGTCCATAAAATCAGCTTCAGAGTTGGAGACAAACTGCTTGACCATGTCACTCACCCCTTCATTTGTCTGCCTGATGCTCTATAAGCCATTATAGCTCTCGCATTGTACCTTCTTCGTCGTCATCGAGTTGGTTTTTCGTCCACTTCTAAACTCTAGACGGACGTTTAATCAGAAAGCTACTAGCACTAGTATTGGAACTCTTCGCTGGCTGCTGAAGATGGGGATGGAGCACTTATGGGAATGCCCCGAGTGCTGTGATGTCGGTTCTTAAATCAAATCATTCTAAACTTGTCTTGTTCTAGAACCTGAGTGTTGCGTGCATGTCCATTTTTCAGATGCAACTCATTTGTAGGCAGACTGTTGGTTCCTTGCCTCTCAGGCAAATGCAGTCCAACTTTGAAGGAGTGATACTAGTATCTTCAGGCATCCCATCTGACAAATTGTTCATATGACCCAATGTCCCTTAATTAATGTGCCGTCAAATGCTGCTTAACGGTCCCTCTACACACCAGAGGCGCATGGAGCAGTAGCCAGCTCTGCACTTTCCTAATGACGCGACCCTTTAACACAAGTCCTCATGTTGTGGAGACCCCCAACCATACAATTATTTTCGTTGCTTCTTCTTAACTTCAGTGAATATGTTTTTCGATGGCCTTAGTCGACCCCTGTGAAAGGGTCGATTGACCCAGAAATGGGCTGGACATATTTTTATAGCATAATCGGTCATCGGTGGTGATATGGTCTCAACATTACACCTGCCGCACTTACTTCCTAAGACTTTACCTGGTACCTATTTAATTAAGTTAGTTATGTAATATCCTTTACAGAACCAGTCTCAACGTTGTTTGGGGATTTACATTCATAGTTGACTAATTAATGCTTTGCTGAAATTAGACGTGTTGGATCGACAAGCACAGATATCGCAGCCTAGCTTTAAACGATACAACATGCCAATCCCTCTTTTAAGTGATAGCGTTGAAAAGAAATCTGTAAAATATGAGAAAACTGAAATTTGAGGCGTAACAGCTTCTTGTCAAGAGTACAATATAGTGACAATTATGGTTTCTATGTTATCTCTTTCCCCCACCCCCTTTCTCTCTCTTAATTTACTCCACCAAGACATCATACAGAGCGATAAACAAAGTGCCACCATGCGGATAAGGATCACCCTTGGAGAGGTCCTAGAAAACTCTCAGCCGTTAGGCCATATTCATGGCCCAGCTATACTCAGGGCCCCCGGCAAAAGGCAAGGTGGGGGCTTCAAATAACGAAACATTGCATCCCACATAGGGACGACTATTATATGCATGTTTTCAGGGACAGACATTCGAGAGTATAATGAGCTCTTGAAGATAATCCGGGACATAAAGACTATTGAAGAATTGTCCCCAAAAGGTGTGTAAGGGTCTGCTCAGGCACTGACACTGCTGTCAACAGTGTGAAGGTTGATTCAGGTTAAGGTTTAAATTTTAACTCCCAAAATTATAATGTGATAAAAACTGCTGCAGAGGATTGTTACCCTTCGTCAAAGACATTAACGGTGTCCCAGTAGTTGCTTAGAGAAATAACTATGAAAATTCACACAATCAAGTAGCATCATTTCAAGAGGCAACTAGGTAATCTGATTCTACAGTACCAAAAGCACAACAAAACATTTTGCATGTTTGGGATTCATGAGAACTTATCACATAAGCTGGTTGGGATTTCAGAAGCAGATACATTGTCAGAATACAATTCCATGCCAAGAATTTACTTCATGCTATCTGGCACTCTAGAAAGTAGAAGATAGCTACCATGCCATGAATAGAACCTGTCACCTCTAAATGGCATGTGCACTGTGAAATTGAGTGTAGTAAGAACACAACCAGTCAGGCACCTGTTTAGTAACTAAAGTGTTGAAGGTCACAATGAGAAAAGTAACTGAGTAAAGATGGTGACTAACAGTTGCAAGCTCCAGCTATCAAGGACATCCAGACAAAACAGGTGAGTTAGTTGCTCAACCTCTAGTAGGCTAACCACAGCCATTGGATAATCGATCTGAAGTTTAGGTCTGACAATATTCTGACATGTAACAGGCAGCAAAAGGAGATTTTTCCTCGATTTTTATACAAATACTATGTTCAAAATATAGATATATATATTATACACACACCTGGACACCTAGGTTTAAATGTATCAAAAGACAAAGACAATATAATTGGCATAAAGCAAATCACACACAAGCACCAACATAAATCCAATTCATACACCCACTTTACAACCAAGAACAAATAATAGCTATAACATGGCTTTATTTGGCCTGTAATTTAACAGAGGCATGCTCAAGCAGACAATAGACAAGCATCAGTGATCTCATCTGGCAAATCTTGGCTTGGAACTGGACAAGACACTGACTGCAGCAGCAGGGCAGGCATGTCCCATGTCAGACACTGGAATGGATAAGATTACAGATTTACACAGTACAGCCAAATGTGATAGAACATATACATGTATTAATGATGGCAGTACATTCAGATTAGGTGCTAATCACTGTGTGTCATAAAGACTGAAGTTTAGTGTAGAATCATCATCATACTGCCCCATACAAACTCACATGCGAACCAGTTGTATCTGAGAAATATTTCTAAAGAATAAACACTAATGAACAGTATAGCTAACAAGCTTTAAAATTATCAAACTTCAAAAATGGCATGTTAGTTAAATTTTAGTTACACCCTAATTAAACAGATAAAGAATTACTAAACAGAAATGTGAAAGAACTAAGAACCCAATGCCAAACAAATACTACACTGATTGACAAGAAAAGGTAGGACTGAAGATTGGCTGTCACAAAAGTTTAGAGAGCTTCTGCACATCTTAAAGTATTACTGACACAGGCTATTTTTCATTCACATTTTGCAATTTCTGATCAAAATGTCAGCAGATGAACCAGGTAATTTGTAATTACAGGCTGTTTACTGCACCTAACCCACAAATGCGATGCAGGTTAAAAGGTTTAAATGAAGCTTGAGGATCCAGGGCTGCCACACACCGAAGGTTGTTTTTTGAGTGCCTGCACATAGGGTTTGAAACTCCACCTGCCAGCTTGTCTCACATACATGTGTCAGAATTAGGGTAACCGGTCCTAGTAAGGGACTAGATGACCAGTGCATACATATGACCGAAGGATAATGTTCGAGACTTTTAGCACCAGAATCACATTATTGGGGGCAATCCGGTGACTCTAAGCCTCGATTGAAACTAATAACTCTGCAACTAGGTCTAAGCTAATATTACAGACACATCCTGTGTGAACAGAGCCTGGCCAAATTATAACTCAAGAGATTCAAGCAAAATGCAAGCATAAAGTCGGGGTTGTTCATCCACTTCTGGACTACTGTTTCCCACATAAAGAACTGACAAACTAGACAATTTCATGTGGAAAGAGACATTTATATATCATATGTAGAAAACCCTTGCAGAATAATACATATAACTATGATTACTTGAATCCAGGTCACTCATTGAAGTGAAGTATCAAACAAAACATGCATCAGTCTGTAAGGCTACAACTGATCCCAACAATGACTGCATCATTAATATGACAGGCTAACTACTTTTAGCACCAGAAATGCATATAAAGCATCCTGGCGACTAAGCATCTTATTGTCTAAACAACTTTACAAATGACTACAGCGATGATGCAGAATCTACAACAGCAGAGTTTGTGTTTGAAAAAGCCAAATGTTTATTCATGATGTCATTACCCAAATTAAAAAAAAAAATCTGGGTGTAAACATAAAGGTTTAATATTGCCACCTTGCGGCACTCAGGTCAACAAGGGACAAGAGGAATTTGTTGGTGGCAATAAAAATGACCATAAAACCAAGCAATGTGCCATGCAGCAAACCAGGACATGCTTTGAGAAATATGGCAGCTAAAAGTGTCCTTACAGTAGAAAGAAACAAGAAGTGTCATGTCAACCATACCCTCTTCCAACCAACATCCAGCATTGTAAACCAAGTGGTTTTTAAACCACTTTATAGTGCATGAGCACTGGCTGTCTTAAACCCAAAGATGAACATGTTTTTTACAACACCTTACGCCAAGTAAAAATACAAAAACTTACAAAAATTGTCTCTGGTATTCTCAAAGTTGCAGAGAACTGGTCACCTACAACCCTATCATGACAGATACATAATCTATGGCCAAGGTCACTGTACAGTCACACAAGCAGAAACTGCCCTTGGTAAATGGCCGAGGAGAAAAAGCAATTAACATAAAGAGCAAATGTATACATTTCCTATAGAAATACAACTTACGTTTCTGCAAAAAAATACATGGAATCAGACAATAATCAGCTAAACATTGTTCCTTAAGTCATGAATACAAAATGTGAAATAAGAGCCTGCAATCAGATTGCTCTTTTAAACA